TCTGGAAACAAAACCTCAATTTCTCAACCAACTCATTTGACAAACCCTCCACTGATAATCACTGGAGAGGGGAGAATCTATTCAGTAAATGGTGCTGGGAAAACTGGCTGGTCATGTGCAGAAGAAAGAAACAGGTCCCCTACCTATCACCATACACAAAAATCAACTCTAAATGGATCAAAGACCTAAATGTAAAACTCCAATCTTTAAGAATCTCAGAAAATGTTGGAGACACCCTTATGGAAACCAACTGCATATCCGACAGAGGCCTAACATCCAGGATTCACAAGGAACTCAAATGTGCTGAAAGGAAAAAAACAAATAGCCCCATTAAAAAGTGGGCAAAAGACATGAATAGAGAGTTCTCAAGAGAAGATATATGGGCAGTAAACAGATATATGAAAAAAATGCTCAGCCTTACTAATCATCAGAGACATGCAAATCAAAATCACATTGAGATGCTATCTAACTCCAGTAACAATGGCCATCATTAAAAAAAACAAAAACCAATAGATGTTAATAAGGATGCAGGAAAAAGGAACACTTCTATGCTGTTGATGGAAATACAAATTAGTTCAACCTCTATGACAAACAGTGTGGTGATTCCTAAAAGAACTAGCAGTTGACCTTCCATATAATCCACCATTCCCTTTTCCTGGAATATACCCAGAGGAACTTAAGTCACTCTAAAAAATAAAAATAAAAATAAAATAATAATAACACCTGCACATGCATGTAAATTGCAGCACAATTTACAATAGCAAAAACACAGAACCAACTGTGTTGCCCATTGAAACTGGACTGGATAATAAAAGTGTGGTACATATACACAACGGATATTATGCAGCCATAGAAAAGAACAAAATTATTGATTTTATAGCAACTTGGATGAATTTAGAGTCTATACTCAGTGATTTATCACAGAAACAAAGAGCTGAGTACCGTATGTTCTCACTCATAAGTGGACACTGAAATTTACCATAATACTACAAGAAAAGGACTGGCAATAGTATTTTTCTTTGTCAGGAGAGGAAGGGCAGGGGCACCTAACATTAATAAGGGTACCTTATCTCAAACCAGGCAAAGTGTGGACCAATGCTAAGTCCAAACTTTACCTGTATGGTGACCACTTGTATAGTTAATCCTGAATTGTACTCCACATCTTTAAAATAAAATAAGTTAAAAAACAAAAACAAGCTGGGCTCGGTGGCTCAACCTGTAATCCTGCGCCTTTGGGAGGCTGAGGTGAGTGGATTGCCTGAGCCCGCAGGTTCAAGACCCGCCTGGGCAGCAAGACCTCATCTCTACAATAAAACCAAACAAAAAAATCAAAAAATCAGCCGGGCATGGTAACACGCTCCTGTAATTCTGGCTACTCGGAAGGCTGAGGTGGAAGGATCACCAGAGCCCAGCAGGTCGAGGCTGTGGTGTCTGGGAGCGGCCACTGCACTCCAGTCTGGGCAACAGAGTGAGACCCCAACTCAAAAAAAAAAAAAAAAAACCCAAAGAATTACTACATTTTTAAAAAGAAAATCATTTGTATTTTTGCATAGAAATTGAACTCACAACTCTATTGTGCATACACTTTTTTAAAAAGTTACATATTCATAATATTTAAAAAGTCAATTTAAGAGATAGTCAAGATTTTTTTTAGTACTGAAAGGGTAATTCTTAGGGTAAATAATGCTCATTTCTGTAAAGCACAAACTCTCTCAGTCTTAGTGGCTTAGTACAATAAAATCTTTATGTACTTTTTTTGTACAATGTTCCTGGTCTACAGACACCTTTTTGCATAAGAATTAAGGGACTTACTGTTTCATCTTCTGGATTTTCTCTAGTTTTTCAGGAATCTCCCTTACAACAAAAATAAAGATCAAAAAAGGAGTGAGATGGTGTGAGATATTTTTATGGACTAGATTGAAAGATAAAAACTATCCGGGCTTGGTGGCTCAGCCTGTAATCCCGCGCCTTTGGGAGGCTGAGGTGACAGGATTGCCTGAGCCTGCGGGTTTGAGACCCGCCTGGGCAGCGAGACCTCATCTCTACAATAAATCAAAAAAATCAGCCGGGTGTGGTAGCGCATGCCTGTAATTCCGGCTACTCGGAAGGCTGAGGCGGAAGGATCACTGGAGCCCAGCAGGTAGAGGCTGCGGGGGCCGGGAGCTGCCACTGCACTCCAGTCTGGGCAACAGAGTGAGACTCCAACCCAAAAAAAAAAGAAAGATAAAAACTTCCATCCATTTTCTATTGGTTGGAATTCAGTCACATGACCTGTCTCATTCATATGCAAGATAATTAAGAATGTGTCCAGGAGCAAAAGAAAAAGATGAACAAGATGCCAGGTTCTGTTATACAAGGCAAATTTCTAACTAAAAGATGTATAAAAATATAAACTGAATTACAAATGGTCACAAATGTGTTTTTGTATAGTTCAGTGTATTTATACTTTATATTTATTTTTGTAATGTAATTACCAGAAGTATATTATACATTATTAAGCACATGTAGTTTTTAAGTTTAACTTTGATTTTGCTTTTTTAGTTTTATTTATGTGGAATTCTATTGAACATTTTAATGTACTGTACAGATCTAAGGTACTGCCATTAACTGAAGGATTATTCCCCTCATTATAATTAGTTGATTAAAATATTTAGTAGATAGAGGTTAAAAATGTATGATTACCTAAAGTTACCTTCCATGTTTTTCACATTCTGTTTTTCTCTAACGTACATTATTTTATTCAGAAATAATATATCTGTAATCATTTATTTTTAATTAAACTCTTGCTTTAGCATAGTTTTAGATTTACCAAATAGTTGCAAAGATAGCACAAAGAGATCCTGTATACCTTAAAATCAGTTTCCTCTATGTTAATATAGTATGTTACTATGGCACATTTGTCACAATTAATAAAACAATATTGATATATTATTGATAACTGCAGTCCACACTTTATTTGTATTTCTTCAGTATTAAGCTAATGTTTGTTTTCTGGTCCAGGATCTCAGTCAAGATACCGCATTCCTTTTAGTAGTTGTGTTTCCATAGGCTTCTCTTGGCTTTAAAAGTTTTTCAGACTTTTCATGTTTTTGATGACCTTGACAATTTTGAAAATTTGATCAAGTATTTTTTTTTTAGAATGTCTCTCAATTAGAATTTGTCTGATCGTTTCTTGAATTACACTATTTTTAGGGGGAAGACTATAGAAAAAGTGCCATTCTCATCACTTCATATCAAAAGCTATTATTATTAACATGACTTATTACTGTTGATGTTATGAGGAAAGCTTTTTCACCGTAAACTTACTCTTTCCCCCCCACTCCCTTGTTTACATAACATGATCTTTGGAAGGTAGACACTGTGTGTTACCCAAATTTAGGGATAGGAGCTATGTTCCACCTCCTTAAGTGCAAAGTATCAGCATAAATTATTTAGAATTATTCTGTACAACATATTTACATATTATCTCCCATCTATTCAATCATTTATTTTTATCTTTATAGACTCATAGGTATTGATTTTATATTTTGTATTAACAGTCAACCTTCTTATATTTTGTTGCTTAAATTGTTCTCTAATTTTGGTCATTGGGAGCTCCTTTTGTTGGTTTTCTTTGATTTATTCTCATGGTTTTGTTTTTTGGGTACTTTCTTACTCTGGTATTACAAGAGTCTTCATGTTATATTCTATGTTCTAGTACTGTATTCTGCAAGATCGCTAAGGACCTTGGCCTTTTTTATTGAATAATGATATGAGAAATTAAAATATGGGTATTGGAAAAATCTTTGTCATTTTTAGAATAAGTCTAACATTTTATTGAATAGGATTACTTAAACTATTCCCTAAATATTTTTTAAGATACATAATTATATAAGTATGTATTAGCATCCTACTTAAACATAATAAAATATTTCCTATTATAAGATTTATATATGTTAGAAAGCTATTTGAAATTATAATTAGACACTTGATATTATTACTTTTTGGCAAACAATATATTTATTTAACATTTCTCATTAATGTACATTTGATTAAATGAGATAAGTATAGTATTACCTTCATTTGAAAGACAAGAAGACTATATCTTAGTGAGTTCAAATGGATGAAAAATATTTGAATTGAGACACACACTCCAATATTTTTTATATGTAATTTTAAGAAGATACTTTGGAGAGAAGGGTGGAGGCATGTGACAACACAAAGGTCACCTGGTCCGCTACCAGGGAGAGTGAGGGCCAGTTAGAAGCCCAATTTCACTTGCATGCAGCCTACTTATGCAATTAGTCCTCACTTGTACCCCACATCTGTATAATAAAACAAAATAAAATAAAAATATTTTTTAAAAAAATTCAAATCAATTATATTTAGTTGAACAGTTTTAAAATTTCATGGTTAAGAAAAAAATACTAAACTTTGAGATACTATCAATAACTTAGGTTCTATATACCCATTTATATAAAAATGTATTAATATATTAATATTTACTTATATATTTACAAAGGAAAACTGGATTTATTTGGTTTTGGTAAAAATACGACTTAACTGAAGCTAAAAACTATCATTAAATTTGAGATCAAATAAAAATAAACTGTTAATAACTTACTATAAGTTGAGCTAAGTATAACTACATTCAAAGATTAAATAATTAGTTTAGAAAAACCTTGAAATTTTCAAAAAAATGAAAAAAAATCGAAAATGTAACATGATAACATATTAAGCTCATAATGTGTTCCTTACTTTTCACTGCTTCATTTGGTTACATTAGTGACCTTTCAAATAGAAAAATAAGAAGCTCAACTGCTTTAGTGGATAAATAAACAAAGTTTATTTCACTCTAGTTTCTGCCTAAGGGATAATTGGTTGGTCACTTTAGAACTTGACTTTAAGAAAATGAAGGTCTAATAATGTTGTTGGAAGGTTTAAATGAGTTCAGACACGAGACAGAAATGCTGTTTAAAGTTAATTATGTTTGCTCTTCCTTCTCCCATTGTGTTCATTACCTTTAAATGGAGGCGCATATTGGCAGAAGTAATTGCCAGGTTGGTCAATGCAGGTGGCTCCATTCTTGCAAGGTTGTGAAGCACACTCATCTATGTCTATTTCACATCTTGTACCTTTAAAAAATAATTTATAAAGATGTTAAGTTTTAATAAGGTAAGCAGGTGCCAGGTTAGAATTCTTAAATTTGTCCTAGTCTTTTAACCCATTTAGGATAATATCTGAAACTAAATTTATTAGCCAAGAATGTTGCACCATTTACTGTCAGAATCCATTTATTTCAACTTACTATAAACCACAATGACTCCTTTTAGAAGAGTTTGTATTCATCCAAAGTCTGTTTAGATGTGAACTAATTTATCTTTGCTGGGGAGTCTAGAGCTGGTGTATATGTTTCAGATTATCATGATGTAAATCAAATGTTAGGGTAAGGGAAATAAAAAGGGAACAAAAAGAGAAGACTGGTGAATCAATAACATCCTGATGCATGTCCCTGCGTACTAAATGTTCTCTACAAGGTACAGTTGGTAAGTTCTATTTACCAATAAAGTCAGGGGACAGATGCACTTGAATCTACCCATGAGCTCTGTAGATGTAGTGTCATGGAGTCGGGTGATAAGTCACATTTAAAAAAATTAATTTCACAAAATACACTTCCATGGAAATAAAAAAAGAAAAGATCACAGATTTCCCTTAACTATGTAGTCTTTGCTTTTTATTTTTAGCTAGTTTTCTACTTCAGCTTTTTCCTTCACGCTCCACCTGTTGCATTATTTAGATTAATTTCCCGAGTTGAAAAACATAGCCTAAACTGACACTTAGTTGATTCTTATGACTTATGACAGCTACTTTTCTTGCCAATTTATAGCAAGAATAGAAAAATTGACACTGACACAATAACAATTATTCACAAATTATATAAACGAAAATATTTCTTCTATTATTAATTTTTAAAATGTGACATGAATCCAAGGAGGGAAATAGTGACATAATATTATTAGAAATAGAAATGAGCATACTAGTCAGGCAGGCACCGTGGCTCATGCCTAAAATCCCATAACTTTGGGAGGCAGAGGTGAGAGGATTACATGAATCCAAGGGTTCGAGATCAGTTAGGGCAACTTGGCGAGACCTCATCTGCACAAAAAAAACAAAAAAAATCAGCTGAGCATAGCGCATGCCTATAGTTACAGCTACTTGGAAGGCTGAAGCGGAAGGATGGTCTAAGCCTAGCAAGCTGAGACTCTGATGGCCGTGAGCTTGCCACTGCATTCCAGCTTGGAGGACAAAGTGAGACTCCAAATCAAAAAGAAAAAGAAGAAAACATGAACATACTAACTAAATAGAAAATAGTACTATTATCCCCAACAAAATGAAATGTTTGGTGAAAAACATGACATTAGAACATTAAGTTAAACTGAGAAAAAAAGTGAAAATTAAAAATCACATTAGTGATGAATAAATGTTAAACCTTAGATATATGTATTTGCTCATTGTTCTAAAGGATCAACTTTGTGAAAAAAATGCAATTACAAACCCTGATTGATTTACAAAAGCAAAAACATGCATGGTATACTAAATCTATTTCTATGATAATGTAAAGATACAGAAAAATAATGCAGACAAAATTATACATGGAATATTATCCTGAAAAACAATTAATATGCATTTCCATGAGATGAATTGCATCTTCTACAAATGAAGAACAATTTCCATCTAAATTAATCTTCAGGGATGATAGTTTTGATCTGTAAGCATGCCTGCTTTAAATTCATTCTGACATAGGCAACTGGAGGTGCTGTGAAGACCAACACAAGTATCACCATTTGTGCAGGATCACTTGGGCATTCACCCACCTTCATCTCATAGTTATTACTTAGAACATGCAAAGCATTCACTTCATTGTAAATGTGTCACTGATGAAACATGCAAGTAAGACTAAGATTATTTCCAAAAAATATGAGGTATTCAACTTGTCTGCAAATAGTCAACACTCTAACAATATGAAGTAGATACTTTTTTTTAAAAAAGTGTTTTAATGTTGCCACTGTGGCTTTACTCTCTTCTCAGGGAACCAAGAAGAATTCAAAATTCCCATTATTTCCTTACAATTAAAACAAGCTGTTTATGCATGGCCATACAGTGTTAATCAAATTGACTTTCTTTGATGGTTATTCTTTCAAAAACTGCGTGCTGTACACATTTGGATATGGTCTACTATTCATTAAAAAAAGCAACTCAGCTTAACTTTTGTTTAATTAAACAAAATAATTTAAACTAAATTAATCATCATATTTACAAGGTATTTTAGACATTGTTAAAGGAAAATAGAGCAATGTGTTAGTTTGCTTGTTTTTTTTGGTTTGTTTTAGCAAAATGGCTTAAGAAAATACCACGTAGTGGAATTTGTCTTTTGTTTACTTGCTATACTCATCATCTGAACTCCCTTTTATATCTAGAGAATTATCTACTTAATGATTCTTTGACAAAGGTTAGAGATTCCCCTCTCAATATAGAAGGTACAAATAAAAATAAAAGTACAGCCCCTACTCCCCTCAAGTACTCCTAAACATATGTATGCAGTCAAAAACTGATTAATTTGACAAACACTCCGTGGAATTTGAAAAAAGCTGGTGATGCAAGAAAATCGGGGATAGAGGTAGGAAATGATTTTCCTAAAGGTGGTCATATAGCAGAAACCATGCCAATGTTTCAGGGTTATTTGGTGTTATTTTGTGATCAGAGTTGTCTTGTGTCAGTGGCATTCTTCCCTTACTCTAATGTGACATAATATTCAGTGTCCTTTTCTTCCTTTGCTTATGTCAGTTTTCCACATCTGATTCTAGACTTCTACAGGTCCAACAGGTAGCATAATTTTGGTACTCCTTAAATTAAGTCCTTTCTCATTAAATCAGCCTGAGTATATTTCCGGCAACCACAATGAATAACTCTATTACTGAAATGTGTTACGGCTTATTTTTGTCATTGTTATTAAATATTGATATTTCAATTTTACAGAGGAAGCAATCAGGGGGAAAAAGTAAAAAGAGTTTTCAGATATTTGTGGCATATATTATTGATGTCAATAAATCATTAATATTGACCTATATTCAATTTTCCTCTGCTTTCCGTAAAAGAATTAAATACACCATCTTTTGAAGTTAGAAATATTGGTGTATATTTTCTTGATGTCTTTGCTTTCTAGGTAATAGTGTTCTCATAAAATTACTTGGAAAGTGTTCCATCTTTCGTTTTGGAAAGTTTTTTTACATGGCTGTTATTATTTTCTCTTTTAAATATTTGACAGAATGTACCAGCTTAGCTATCTGAACCATTTGGCTTTTTTGTGGATAATTATATTTTGTTATAATTCAATCTCTTGTTTTGTTAGGATAGTTTTTTCCTATTCTTAAATTTTGGAATTTGTGTCTTTCAAGGAATTCTTATATTCCTTCTTAGCTGTCTAATTGTTTCCATAAAATTTTTTATGATATTCCTTTATTATGTTTTACCATTTCTGTAGTGTTTTAAGATCTTCCCTGTTTCATTCCTGTTTTTGATAATGTCTTCTCTTTTCTTAGTCAATTTAGCTGAAAGTTTGTGGGTGTTTTCAAAGAACCAACTATTATTTTCTGTTGTTTTTTTTTTTAATTGAATTCTGTCCTGATTTTGGTTTCCCTCTTTCACTTACTTTGGATATGAATTGCTTTTATTTTTCAAGCTTCTTGATGTACAAACCTAGACTATTGATTTTAGGTTTTTCTTTCTTTCTAATGTAAACAGTTAAAGCTATACATTTCTATTTAACCACGTATACATTTTTACATACTGTTTTCATGTTCATCTGACTCTAAGTTTTCTCGTACTCCCTGTAATATCTTCTTTGACCTATGGATGATTTACATGTGTGTTTTAACTTCAAATATTGGAATATGTCTCATGTCTTTCTGGTATTGGTTTTTAACTAATTTAATTCTGGTTTTGTTTTTAAATATAGTATATTATCCACATGAAATATGCTATGTGTACATTTAAGAGCAATACTTTTTTTGCCATTTATAGGTAGAGTTTTCAATACTGACAGTTAGACAAGTTGGTTGATGTCCGGCTTTTTTATTCATTTGGACAAATGCTCTCCATGTGATGGGAGTGGGCCATAACAGTAGTTTTAGCAGACCAAACCTGAAATTAGCTGCTACAAATATGTTTAAAAAATATAGAAATCTACATTTAATAATTTAAATTAAACTATGATGATAATATGAAATCACAATAGAAAATTTTAAAAAGTTAAATAAAGAGTTCAAAGAAAATTCTATACTAGAATATTCAAATAAGCGTAATGTAAAGTTTCCCAACTAGGCTAAATAACAGATATAAAATGTCAAGGAAATAATTAATATGCTTGAAAATAGATCAATAGAAATTTTATATGATACCTGGAATCTACTAGCACCCACTGGCACACTGAATAATTTTGTACAAGTATCCTTTGTTGCAAATTGTGTAGCTTTTTTGCATTACAAGAAGTCAAATTTTAATCATATTTTTAGTTCCCCGTTTCTATCTTCATTAGTGTATTTTTCTTTTCCAACCCAACATATCTTTTGTGTATTTTCCAAAGTTTTAGCGGTTTTTTTTCTATTTTTATTTCTTTGCATTCAGGGTTTCTTACACTACTATAAACAAGTTCTCTACAATCATAGCTCATGTTCTGACTTTTTAATCAAGTTTTAGGGCTTGTTTCAAATTTAAGCATTGTCATATGGTTACCTCAGATTCAACTTCTCTCAAAACTAAGTATTTCTCCCATTAAAATTTTATTATTTACAGTGATAGAATAATAATATTTGATAATCATTTACTGATATCTCTTTAGGTACAAAATTTAGGATTAATTTTAGATTATTTGTTCCATGTCTCAAAATTTACCGATGAATGTATATTAGTGATTATAACATACCCCAACAAATTTTATTTGCAGATGAAGCTTATTAATATATAAATCTATTTACTATAATTGTGTGTTATTCTTATATTTTGCTTCATAGTCTTTATCAGGTGTCATATCTATAATTTACTTCAAAAACATTTTAGCAAAGTAACAGGGCATAAG